TCTTCCTCCTCCTCCTCCTCCTCCTCCTCCTCCTCCTCCTCATCATCATCATCATCATCATCATCATCATCGTCATCCTTATCCTCATCCTCATCCAATTCATCCTCCTCCTACCCACCACCTCATCAATCCATCCAGCCTCCTCCTTCTCCTCCTCCCTCCTTCGCGCGGTTCGGCCGTCCCCCTCTTTGCTCCCGCACGTCCCTGATCACCTCAACTCGCCTGGACATCGTTTCTGGATGGGCTGGTCACCAGCCGCTGGTGGGGATAGTTTTGGTCAGCGGCCCCGAGACGAGTGTCAGGAGGCAAAGGCGACGTCCGGGCCACGGGCGAAGCTAATTTGCTAAGCAGAGCGCCGGCCGGCCCACTCAGCAGGCGGCTGCAGGCTGGGTGGCGCAGAACTGGCTGGCGTACTGCAAGCACGGGCACGCGCACTGGAAAACATGACCAGAATTCGAGTGGCCAACGCATTCGGTGTCTGCTACAGTATGAGACGTGAGCCAGGACAGCCAAGTCCGTCAATCTAAGTGGGGGCCAGTGCGAGGCCGGTGGAGTGAGTCGCCGGTGGGGCGCCAGGCTCCACACGCCCTGGGCGACGTGTGCTAGCTAGGGGGGCTGAGCGGCCGCGGGACGTGGTGCAACGCAACCTGCCGGAAACTGGTGGCGGGCCTGGGGTGCTGTAGCTGCCGCGGAAGGCTGGACCACTCCGAAGCAATACCACCAACCACCAGACCACCCCACAGTGCAAGGGGGAACCAAGCAACTGCGGGCCACGCAGCGCGTGCCGGCACGGCGCCAGGCCTCAGAGGGAGGGGGGGGGGACCAGCTGGCGTGGTGAGCGTCGCCAGCGTGAAGAGAAAGGGGTGGGGCGGCACTGGTGGTAGCGCAGCCCTCTGGAGGGCGCCAAACTGAACCGGGGACGGGCGTATCCCAAGTGATCGGACCTGGCTGTACCTCCCGAGGCACGTGGCGCATGTGCGAGCCAGGCGTGCCGATGCCCTAAGGCGAGTGGCGCCTGTGCGAGGGGGCGAGCCGATGTCATAGGGCGATGCCCGGGGGGGGCTGCACTGTGGTAGACACGAGGGCCAGGGGGCAGAGTCTGACCCAATCCGCCGCTTGGCACTTCCGCCCAAGACCCGGGGAACGCCAACACACACCACGCGGTCCTCCAGGGCCGCAGCTAGCCCCGCTGAGAGTGATGAGCCAGACCACGGGCAGCGGGGGGCACGGGCGGCCCTGGGGGGGGGGGACCCACGCCGACGTCTGCAGTACGTCAGGCGGGCCCCGGGGCCAAGGGCGGGGGACACCCGCCTGGCCCGAGAGGGGGGGGGCGAGGGGAAGCAACGCCTCTCCCCTCAGCATGGCCCCGAATCCGTGGGTCAGGGGCCATGGTCATTCTCGGGGGTCGCAGCTGATCGCCGCTATGATCTCTCTTTCATCTCACCGGGGGTCGCAGCTGATCGCCGCTATGATCTCTCTTTCATCTCAACGGGGGTCGCAGCTGATCGCCGCTATGATCTCTATGTGATGGTTGGTTTCTCCGTCGGTTGGTCCGCCATGTCTCTTTCATTTCCTCGGGGTCGCAGCTGATCGCCGCTATGGTCTCTATTTGATGGTGGGTGTCTCCGATTGCTGGTCCTCCAAGGACGCATCAATCCGTCGCAGATGTGAACCTGCAGGGTGACAGGACAGTGGGGGTGGTAGGTCCTCGGGGGTCGCAGCTGATCGCCGCATGAATCTGTATTTGACAGAGAGGTGACCAGGCAGGGCCGCGCTAACCGCCAGGCAGACGGGGGGGAGGTTGAGGCCCACTTCCTGCCACAGGGCAGGAAGTGGGCCACAGCATCCCCCCCGCCTGCCTGGCGGCACAGGGCCTGCTGCCATTGTCCGCCCTTCACGCACACTCTGACCCCACCGCTGTAACTGATCGCGGCGGGTTCCGATGCCGCCTGCCGAATTTTGCAAGGCAGCGACAGGGCCTGCTTCCAATGCCCACCCTTCTCTCACCTGATCCCAGCGCTGCTACTGATGACAGCGGGCTCCAACTTAGCCTCCCACGCTCCGGCAATAGCGCAGGGGCATGTTGCCATCCCCGTTCACTCACTGAGCAGCGACAGTGCGAGTAGCCATTGCTCACCCCTGGCGCACGCGCTGCTCCCAGCGCTGTGGCTCACAGCGTCCAGCTCGCACCTCGCACCTCGTGCGCGACGCCTCTGCAGCTCCCCGCGTAGACCCGGGGACGCGGCAACCGCCGAGCGTGGACGGGGGGGGGGCGGGGGGTGGCGCGCCCAGGGTGGAGTGAAGACGGAGCAAGCACGGGGGGGGGGGCGAGTGACGGCCCTTGGATCGCCGCTAACCGCCGCTGGTGTTTGTGAGCCTGCAGAGTGACAACCCACAGCTGAAGTGTACAGAGGGGGGGGGTCGTGCCCGTAGTGTCAGCTGTTCCCCGCATGGACCCAGAGTCGCGTCATACCGCCGCTCTGGGTTGGGTGAAGACGGAGCGCCCATGGACTGACACGCAGGGGGCGGTGCTGTCACCCCGAAGCCCGACGCATCCATAGGGGGGGTGTGGTGTGGTGGACCCCCAAGGAGCCGCTGACCGCGGCACTCCTGCACTTCCCTGATCACCTCTCAAGCTGCTGCTCCTGAAGCTGCTGCTGCTGCTGCTGCTGCTGCTGCTGCTGCTGCTGCAGTTGGTGCTGCTGCGGCTGCTGTTGCTGTAGCTGTTGCTGCAGCTGCGGCTGCTGCTGCAGGTGCTGCTGCTGTTGCAAGCTGCCGCTGCTGCTGCGGCTGTTGTTGCTGCTGCCGCCGCTGCTGCTTGAACGCCTTCGCCGGCGTCGCCGGCGTTCCAACGCCGCATGAACCTATCGTAGCCTTGCCTCGTTGTTCCCCTTGTTCGGCCTCCTGGGATGGCCTCGTCGTCACCGCCGGATTCGCCTCGAAATCCTGGTCAGAACGCACCCCAAGAGAGATCCTGGGAGTAGTGTTATCGGTACCTTCTGATCTCCCCACCTTGCTTTGCGTGTGATATAGATTCATGAAACAGGTTCCGCAGTCTCAGCGCCTCTTAATGTCTACCAATGTCCCCTCTATCGCCTAATGGCGCCCATTGGCGTTTATGAGTGACTACTAGCGCCTACGAGCGCCGATTAGCGACCACTAGTAAGCAATTGTAAACGCTGATAGCTGGGGAAGGTAACAAGTCATGTTCAAAATGCTTCACGCACACACAGCTATGGCGGGGGCACTTGGGTCAGACGGCAGGGCGACGAACCTCGACCTTCGAATTTACGGTCGTAAACTTCTGAATAGCGTGTCGCCGCGGCGGCCCCAGCGTCACGCGATCGATACCCTGCCAGTGGATAGCGCGTGGCTCCGCTCCGCGGAGCGCTGGGAAAGGCTGGGGACGCGGACGCTTGGAGACCCGGAAGTGGATAACGCGTCGCGCAGATGCGTGGTGGGCCACAATCAGCGGAGCGAAACGCTACCCAACAGTTCCCGGCCGTGGAGTCTCGAGGCTTTCGGGGCCTCGAAGGGGGCGTCTCATGGCCACGGCTGGGTTCGCCTTCAATTTCTGGGCAGAACGCACCCCAGAAGACGCCTGGGGGTCGACGTTTGACCACAGGGTCCAGACCCCGTGGCGTTAGAAACAAAAACGCGACGGGAGATGCTTAACTATCTTCGGCATCGCTGGACCCGACCCGGGAACGTCAAAAAATGAGTTGGGATGAAAAGCCCGTCCCGGAGAATGGGTCGAGACCTCTGGTTGTCCACGTTATGAAAAAATCGCGAAGTCAGCGGTTGCAAGGATCCCGATACAAAAAAACACAAGTGGCCATGTTGAAAATGCCTGAACAATTCGTGGACAGAGAACTGTTATGTCCACAGGAAATCATGGCTGCGTCTGAGACGACAACAAGCTGAGAAGCCTGGACCAGATCGCCTGGCAACAAAAAACGAATGATGACCCAGCCTTGGGCATGCACACGTCGCATCTCATCCGCAGGTGCCCAGACAAATGAGCCAGCCTCCTTTCGGGGGCGTCCACGTGAGGGGAGACCAAGAGGGGGTTCCGCAAATGATGGCCAGTAGCATGCGCGCGGCTTAGGGGTCCCAAGGGACGTCTTCAAATAAGAAGAGGGGGCGATGACATCTGGATCATGACCCTGGCTATGAGATCCACTCCCCCTACGTAAATCACCACCCCTCTGGGCCGCACCCGATCCTGTAAGCCGCTGAACAGAAGGCGACTTCGAAATGGGCAAGAATTGTCCGTTGCAAGCACAGCCGTATCACACCGTCCGGCCGCCTCCCAAGCACACTTGACACTCCATCCAGTAGGTCCCGGATGTTCCCGCCCTAAGACGACGAATGCAAGAGGAAAAAAGAAGAAGGGAGGGGCGATGGAAGGAAAGAGGTGGAAAAGACGGAAGGGCGTAGGGAGGAGCAACGCGAAGAAGCAAAAGTAAATGAGGCAGAGGACGAGCCCAAATCATTGGATATCATTTTTTTTTTTCGGTCGCGATGTGTAGCGACCGATAAGCACTCAAGATCGGTCGCAACCGATCGCAGCTGATGTCGGTCGCGACCGCTTCCAGAATCGGAAGCAAAATCGGTGGCGACCGATCTCCTCGGCCGCGACCAGAAGGATCGGACATCCAATGATCAGAAGGAGGGAGAGCAAACCGCGTTAAGCACACACACGCACACACACACACACACACATGTCGCAGAAATTCCTCGGGCTCGGCTCGGCCCCAATGCGGCTCCCCGTGCCACTGCAACAGCTCAGCTACCCACTCACCCTCTATGTGGTGACGGCATTGGATCAGGAAGCATTGAAGAAGGAATCCAGGGTCTGGAAGCCGGAGGAACTCCAACAGAGGCTTGGCCATGGATGTCACCGCCAACCTCATCAGACAAGGAATCCTCCTGGGCACATTCCTGGGCACAGAAGCCTCCTGGGCACATTCATTAACGAACGCCCCCACAGTACATACAGGGCCATCAGAGGCGAACCGTTCGATGAGCTGGACCTTCTCCCCCAATCTTTAGCGGGCAGAACAAAGCGCGCACCTGCTCCTAGGGGCTCTCCCAAAGCAGCCACCGCATGACTCGGTGCATGCAGGGCGCTCAACCCAGGTCATACAAGTGGACGGACCGCCATTAAACTACTGCTGCCGCTCCGCGCGCAAGGCCACAGCGGAGCGTCGCACAGAGCCTCAGTGCGCCGATGAAGGGGCCAGGTCAAGCACCAGGCTTCCCCCAGGGCGCAGCCGACAAGGCGCAGCTGAACCAGGTAAAACGACACACGACATCGGGATTCCCCAAGACGCGGCCTGGTCAACACCATCCAGCGTGCGCGGAGCGAGAGACGGCTGACCAGGATCGCCCGCGGCCCTAATCCCAGGACGCCTCGGCAAACAGCGCGGCGGGCTCCTCGACGATGACGCCCTCGGCCCTGGGCCCCCCGGTGGTCGGACACTTGCACACCAGGCTGGAGCTCGAACCGCTGCCGCCGATGAGAGTGGCGGCCGCCTCGTTGTCGTGCTCGCCGAGCTTCCGCTTCTGCTTGATATCCTTTGGCGGCGAGCGAGGGGGAGCAAATCAGAAGGAGAATGCCTTCTCTCAAGGCGGCGGGACTTCTCAGAAGCCTTCGAGCCTTCTGAGGAAGTGTTCTGTGTCTTCGGGGAAGGCTTAGAAAACTTCTCAGAAGGCTAGGGGGATTCCGAGCCTTCTGAGATGACCCGCGCCTTCTCACTTCCCCCCCTAGCTCGCCGCCGACTCCTGCCACCGCTGCTTCCAAAGGGGCCTGTAGTAGTAGTCGTTGTCCTCCTGGCTCTCGACGCTGTACTTCTCCGTCGCCCTGTGGTGCTGGCACTTGCCCGAGACGTACTCCAGACTCGCCGGGTGCGCGTCGAAGCCGAGCAGGCCGCCCACGTCCACCCTGCCGAGCGCGGACACGCGCTGGACCGCCAAGTTCAGGTGCTCCTGCTCGGGCAGATCCTGGCGGATCAAGATCTTGGCGGGCGACGGGGCCTTGCGGCCCTGCACGCTCAGCGTAAACATCCCGGCCACGGTGGGCGCGCCTGCCGCTGTCTCCTTCTTGGGGAACCACTGGCTCTTGGTCAACGCCACGTGGAACTTGCTGTCCGGTGCAGACAGCACCTTTTGCGGCAACTCATGGGAGCCTCCCATGCCATCTTGTTGGCCCTTGCGAAACGACGCCAATCGACGCCAGTCGACGCGAAATCCACACGAATCGACGCCAAGCGACGCCAACCGACGCCAATCGACGCTGCATACGCGCTGTCTCATCGACTACCCAGCGTTAATCGACTGAGAGGGTATACATCGGAGGCGGCCTGGGGGCCTGAACTGGCTGTGACCCCCATAAAACCTGTCAGGCGGGGGGAGGGGGGATGATGCCAAATCCGCTGACAATCGGTCCCCGGACCCCTCCTGGCGTCCTCTGCTCTAAGTTTTCACCCCGCACCCGCCGTTCACGGCCCCAGGGCCCGACACCGGCCCCCGGAGGCCGACAGAGCAAAAAACCCATCCCGAACCCAAACACCGGCTCGGTGAGAGGCCACCTCAGACCCCCGGACGTCTCCAATGCACAAGGCTCCCATAACTTGCTACCGAACTAGGTGGCGACATCTGAACGCTGCCCCCGCTAACCATCGGTTCTCCCGAGTCGATGGGAGGCGAGGGTAGAATTCGGATTTCGTCACGTGTTCGACAAATTCCGAACCGTACCCCACAGCCCATCGAGGTGCCTGAATCGTTGACCAGCGAGGGTAAGGTTTGATTTCGCCATCAAGGAATCACGGGGGTATGCCTAGAAGAAATAAACATGAACTTTTAGCGCTCCGCGCGGATTTCTCGGACCCGCGCCGGAGCCCCCTCCCTGGCGCGCGGAGCGCGCCGTGGTCGGCGCCAGGAGCACCACCGTGGGGGCCCAGCGCCGATCCGCAACATCCGCGCGGAGCGAAGAAAATTATGCTCGTGCCGTCTTCTGTTCTTCGAATACCTTGGGCCCGTATCATAAGGATGCGCGGTAAGGATGCAAAGGCCGTGCGCGCCCACTTCGAAGCTTCTCGAGCGGGGCGCGGCCAACGAAAGTGGCCAAAGATGGACCGAGGAGGCAAGGATGCCAGGAGACCCTTGGGAAGGTTGCCCATTCTTACTATGCGGGTTGACTGCTCCCCAGACCCCCGACGTCATGATTTTTTCTGGACGCGACCCCCAGAGCTCTGGACCCCATTCCCCTGGACCAGTCTTTTATCCTGTGCCGTTTCTTGCCAGCCCCGAGGCCCAGTGAGGGCCCCCGGAGGCCGAAAATAGCGAAAACCCTCCCGTCGTGATTTTTTCACAACGCGAGGGTGTCTGGGCCCCATGGTTCTTGCGAACGAGCCGCACCAGGTCGGAGCCGTCGGCCAAGAAGGCCTCCATGCTGTGCCAGGGCGCCGCCTCGCCGCCGGGGCTCAAGACGCGAGCCCCCAGGCGCGCGCCCTCCCGACCGGGGTGGGCCTGGAGGTAGGAGCGCACCTGCAGAGGCGCCCAGGGCTATGTTGTTCCCATCGTACTTAAGGACCACATCCCAGAAACAATTTCGAGCACCCAAAAAAGTATCGAAGCAGTGTCGAACGAGTATCGCCTCCCAGGGCCCGACACGTGAAAACCCTCCAGGCTGGATACTTCATTGGTGCTCGGAATTCTTTCAGGTGGGCAAGATTAAAGTAGGTCGAAACATCATAAGCCCAGGAGGACACAAACAAATTCGGAGGCAACCCAGATCATTGGATATCTGACTTTCTTCGGTCGCGATCTCGGTAGCGACTGATCGGCACCCCAGATCGGTCGCGACCGATCGCGACCGATCCCCAAATCGGTCGCAATGGGTCGCCACCGATCGCGACCGATCGGTCGCGAGCGCTCGGCCGCGACCGATTGTGAAAATCGGTCACGACCGTTCTTGTCGGTTGCGACTGGAAAATTCCAGTAATGATCAGGAGAGCGCGGGGGGGACGTGAGAGGGGACGGGCCTTCTCAGAAGGCTCGGAAGTCCTCCAGCCCTCTGAGGAGTGTTCTGAGCCTATCCCCATGGCACAAGAGGCTTCTCGGAAGGCGCGAGGGCTTCTGAGCAGTACCGCCGCCGTCTGAGAAGGCCTTCTCCTTCTCACTTCCCCCCCTCGCTCGCCGCCGATAAATATAGATACAAATACCCGGATTCCCAATATGTTCCTGGGTGTTTGTCTTCCCCTCCAGCTCCAATAGCTTACCCATGCGTTCCTGGGAATCAGCATGTATGTGTGTCTGTGCCTATTTCTCCCTTCTGAGCCTGGACAGACACGTTGCCCAGCCAGGAACCGGAGAGCTCGACCCGCGTGATGTACGTGGTGCACGGCCTCTTGAAGGACAACGATGAGGGGGGGGACTGGCTCAGGATGGGAAACATCGAATTGGAATCGGCGATACATCACCGATAGATCGGCGGTAGACCCCTGGTAACACATCCGAAGGTTCCTAGGAGGGGTGGGGCTATCAAACACCTATCGGCGATCAATGGGCGACTGGGGGTCGATGCATTCCCCCCCTGAGCTTACAGTCGGGGCGTTGACCTAAGGAACGACAAATAAGAAACGAAACCCCTATGTTTCCCAGGAACGCCGGGGTGGGCTCGCCACCAAAAAAGGAGCGGAACGCATGCAAACCTAAGGAACGGCCGAGCCCCTTCCAAAAAGTAATTGGACCTTATTCAGCGCCCTGACTGTATCACTCACTATCGTTGCCCCTGACCTCTTGAACTCCGGCTGGACGGTGGCCACTAGCTGGAGCTCGGCGTCCTGCGCGGAGTCCTGCGGGAGCCGCAGCAGCACGAAGTCCCCGCCGTGGTTGATGTCGAAGTGCTCGCCCTGCAAATTGACCAAGTGCGGGTCGCCCTTGGCACCCACGGTCGGAGCCGGGGTCGGGTGGATCGGGTACGGGCCAGTCGGGATGCATGTGGATGTGCAGTTGTCGGGGCCGATGGAACACATCGTTGTCTTGTCGCAGGTCGACGACCTGCACCCGCAATTTCCATTCGAGTCGTGCTTGCGGCTGAGCTCCGTCCCGTCCACCGTCGTGCACGAGATAATGACGCCAGCGTACTTGGTGTAGTTGTTCTGCAGGGGCGACGTGAGGGTGACCTCATTGCCAGGACCCACGCTCTCAATGCACACCGTCTCGACGGACGCGTTGCATGCGCCAGACTCGGACATGGAGGAGATGTCGATGCAGTCGCCGGGCGACAACGGCGGGTCAGTCGGAGTGACCGGGATATTGACGTCTCCCGCGCCGACATCAGACGGTAGGTAGCTGCCGTCGCGGCAGTCGTCGTAGTCACCGGCGTCGAAAGCTCCTGACTCGCAATCGGAGCACTCGAACGAGCGTCGCCGACGCGTCGCGCCCGTGGTACACTGGACGCAGGTCACCGGGTTCCCGTCGAGGTAGTACCCCTCCCCGCACTCCGGTGCGTCCGCCCTCGCCTCCACGGGGCAGACGCTGCCGTTCGTCATGTCGAAGATGAGCGACCACTCGACGGAGAGGTTGACGCAGCCGTCCCCGTCCAGGTCCCAGGTCGGGCTGCTGCAGTTCGTCAGCGGCGCCTGGACGGCACACTCATCCTCGGAGGCCGTCGAACCCTACCCAGACCCCCGACGTCGTGATGTTTTCACGGCGTCGACCCCCAAGAGTCTGCACCCCTTCCGCGAGACCGTTTTTTCATCCCGAGTCGTTTTTGACGGTCCCGAGGCCCGGAAAGTGCCGTTGGAAGCCGAAAATGGCGAAAAACTTCCCGTCGCGGTTTTTTCACAACGCGAGGGGGTCTGGGTAAGGCTCACATGTGGCCACCGACATCCTCTGTGAGGCACAGGTCGGAGTTCCGGTCGTAGGCCTCGAAGCAGGCGTTCTTCAGGCAAGGACAGGGCTCCCCAGGCGAGGCCGTGGGGGCCGGCGTCGGGGTCGCCGTGGGGGCCGCCGTGGGCGCCAGGGTCGGGGGCGCCGTGGTCTGGGGCCGTTGCCGCTCGGCGCTCTCGGCCACTGCGGTGATCTGGATGAGGCAGGAGTCGGGGCCGGGCAGGAGCTCCGCCCCCGACCGAAGGAAGGCCGACAGGAGGACCGCGTAGGCAGTCATGGCCCGCGTGTATGGGACGGGGCTGAACCTAAGCATTGTGCTTCGTCTTGCTTTCGTCTTGCTGCTCGTCTTGCTCAACCCGTTCTCTGGCACCTCCCCCCAAAACGAAGAACAAAACACAGCCGAAGCCCTGCAAAACAGCGTGTAGGCCCAGCCCTGGTATGGGATATGATGCGGTAACAGGCGAATGGCACGGCAGCCCGGGGCCGCCGAGAAGCAGAGCAAGCCGAGCGCGCCGGAGCCCAGACGACTGCGGGCCCGTCTGCCCCTTCTGCCCCGTGGCGTGCCCACCTCCTCCACATCCTCCTGCCTACTCTTTCTCCTCATCCTTCTCCTCCACCTGCTCCCTCTCCTCCTCCTCCTCTTTCTCCCTCCTCCCCCTCCTCCTCACCATCATGGTCCTGCCCATCCGCCATGCCATTCCCATGTTCATCCCGTACCTCCCCCCTGCTCTTTCATCCGCCTTCGTCCTCCCACCCCATCCTGCTAATCATCAATTTCCTCCTCCTACTCCTCCTCCTCCTCCTCCTCCTCATCATCATCATCCCCCTCGTCCTCCTTCCTCATTCCTCCGTCCTCCTTCCGCATTCCTCATCCCCCTCGTCCTCCTTCCTCCTTCCTCCCCTTCTTCACTCATCCCTCCTCCCGTCTCCCTTCTCCCTCATCCGTCATCTCTCCTTTCTCCTCCGTCCTTCCCTCCTGCCTCCTCCCACCTCCCACCTCCCTCCTCCCTCCTCCCTCCTCCTCGGACTCCTCCTCCCTCTCCTCCTCCTCCTCCTCCTCCTCCTCCTCCTCCTCCTCCTCCTCATCATCATCATCATCATCATCTTCCTCCTCCGTCTCTTCCTCCTCCTCATCCTCATCCTCCTTCTCCTCCTCCTGCTCCTCCCCTACTCTCTCTCTCTATACAAAGATTTGTAAGCATTGCTGTTTCTCTCTCTCTCTCTCTCGCTCTCCGTCTCTCTCTCTCTCTGTCTCTCTTTATTTCTCGCTCTCGCGTTCTTTCTCTCTCTCTCTCTCGCTATATCGTTCTCTCGCGCTCACTCTTGATATCGTTCTCTCGCTGTATCGTTCTCTCTCGATGCGTTTCTCTCTCTCTCTCTCTATCACTCTTTGTATCCCTCTCTCTCAATATATTATTATGTATCCGTCCCTCCCTCCATGTAGTTATCGCTGTCTGCATACATGCACACAACTATAATGTGCCTCTCTGTCTCTATATCTTTCCTCTCTCGTCCTTTCTGGCTCTCCCTCTATCGCTGTGTATCTATATGTATATTGTTATCGGTATGTTGTCATATACAGATATGTATATGTGTGTAGGTTTAGATGTAAATATGCATGCACACAAGCATGCATGCGTCCAAGCATACATACATGCATACATACAAACACATTCAGACAGACAGACAGACAGACAGACAGACAGACAGGCAGACAGACAGACAGACAGACTGACTGACTGACTGACTGACATCTGCATACATACCTACGTACGTACGTACCTACGTACATACATACAGAACATATACATACAAACACACGTACATACATACATACATACATACAAACATACATACATACATGCATGCATGCACGCATGCACACATACATACATACATACATACATACATACATACATACAGACAGACAGACAGACAGACAGACAGACAGACAGACAGACAGACATACATACATACATACATACACACACATACATGCATACATACATATATATATACATACACACACATACATACATACTACATACATACATGCATGCATACATACATACATACATACATACATACATACATGCATGCATACATACATACATACACCCATACATACATACATACATACGTACATGCATGCATGCATGCATGAATACATACATACATACATACATACATGTGCGGACCCGCGGATTATATCCACGGCGCTGCGTGAGTCGAAATTTTCCGACGCGCGTTTCTGTCTCCGGCGCGCAAGTGCCAGCAATATGCGGTGTGCGATCGGCAACCAACGTGAAATCTATGATGTTCGCCTCTTCAGGCCCTCTTGGGGATCCTCCTGGGGCTCTTGTGAGGGGTCTTGGGCACTCTGAGGCCGTCTTGACAGCATCGTCGGCCGTCTTGGGGCCCTTGTGTGCCGACTCGGGTCCCTCTTGGCCTGTCTTGGGGGCATCTTGGGGGCTTGTTGGGCCGACTTGGGGGCCGCTTCGGGGTTTATTGGGCCATCTTGGTGACCTCTTGGGCCCTCCGTGGGCCCCTCCTGGGCTGTCTTGGGGCTCCCTTGGGCGCCTCTTGGGCCGTCTCGGGGCAATCCTGGAGGCCTCTTGGGTCGTCTTGGAGGTCCAAACAGTCGAGCGCGCGAGAATTTCAGAATCCGCACGAAGCCCACAGGAAATCTACGATTTCGGCCTCTTGGGTCCCTCGAGGGTGTCCCCTCGGAGCCGTCTCGGGACGTCATGGCGGGTTATGGAGCCGCCTTGAGAGCATCTTGGGCCGACGGAGGGCCGTCTTGGGTCGAGTCGGGGCCGTCTTTGGTCGTCTCGGTGCCTCCTTGGGCCGTCTCGGGGCTCTTCTGGGGAGCTCCGGTGTCGATTCGGGGCCCTCTGGGGACCCTCCAGTGCCATTTCGGGTTCCCGGGGCGCTCGGGGAACCGGGGATCCCCCCGAACCCGCCAGGCTTCTTACTGATTTATTGTAATCTATGGGTATGCATACATAAAAAAAACACGTAGAGACAGACGTACATGCATACCTGCATACATACATACATACATACATACATACATACATATATACATATATGCATGCATACTTATATACATACATACCTACATACATACCTGCACACATGCATATACACATACATACATACATACATACATACACACACACACATACATACATACATACATACATACATACATACATACATACATACATACATACATACATACATACATACATACATACATACATACATACATACATACATACATACATACAGTCATACATTCATACATTCATACATTCATACATTCATACATTCATACGTGCATACGTTCATGCAGTCATACATTCACCCAGGAATCGTTGCGAGAAGAAATTGGTGACGCGAAGCGTCTTGGGGGCGTCCTTGGACGTCTGGGGTCTCCTGGGGCCTCTTGAGGGGCCTCCTTGGGGCCTCCTGGCGGCCTCTTGGGGCGGAAGGCTCGAGCTTGCGGTTCGTGGTCCCCCTCTGGGCCCCCTCTTGGGCCCGTCTTGGGGCCCTCTTGGGCCATCTTGGGCGCCTCTTGGGCCGTCTTGGGGCCCTCTTGGGCTGTCCTGGGGCCCTCTTGGAAGTTTTCTTGGGCCGTCTTGGGGCGGTCTTGGGCGCCTCTTGGGCCGTCCTGTAACGTCGGAAAGCCCAAAAGGCGACTTGGTTGAAAATGTACGTTTTACGAACGGAATGGGCCAATTTTTGCGTCTAGGGGCCCTCTTGGGACGCATGTTGGAGGCTTCTTGGGGCCTCTTGGGGGCGTCCTTGGACGTCTGGGGTCTCCTGGGGCCTCTTGAGGGGCCTCCTGGGGGCCTCCTGGCGGCCTCTTGGGGCGGAAGGCTCGAGCTTGCGGTTCGTGGTCCCCCTCTGGGCCCCCTCTTGGGCCCGTCTTGGGGCCCTCTTGGGCCATCTTGGGCGCCTCTTGGGCCGTCTTGGGGCCCTCTTGGGCTGTCCTGGGGCCCTCTTGGAAGCTTCTTGGGCCGTCTTGGGGCGGTCTTGGGCGCCTCTTGGGCCGTCCTGTAACGTCGGAAAGCCCAAAAGACAACTTTGTTGAAAATGTACGTTTTACGAAGGGAATGGGCCAATTTTTGCGTCTAGGGGCCCTCTTGGGACGCATGTTGGAGGCTTCTTGGGGCCTCTTGGGGGCGTCCTTGGACGTCTGGGGTCTCCTGGGGCCTCTTGAGGGGCCTCCTGGGGGCCTCCTGGCGGCCTCTTGGGGCGGAAGGCTCGAGCTTGCGGTTCGTGGTCCCCCTCTGGGCCCCCTCTTGGGCCCGTCTTGGGGCCCTCTTGGGCCATCTTGGGCGCCTCTTGGGCCGTCTTGGGGCCCTCTTGGGCTGTCCTGGGGCCCTCTGGAAGCTTCTTGGGCCGTCTTGGGGCGGTCTTGGGCGCCTCTTGGGCCGTCCTGTAACGTCGGAAAGCCCAAAAGACAACTTTGTTGAAAATGTACGTTTTACGAAGGGAATGGGCCAATTTTTGCGTCTAGGGGCCCTCTTGGGACGCATGTTGGAGGCTTCTTGGGGCCTCTTGGGGGCGTCCTTGGACGTCTGGAGGCCATCTTCAGCATCTCGGAGCCCTCTTGGAGGCCTCTTGGAAATTTCTTGGGCCGTCTTGGGCGCTTCTTGGGCCGTCTTGTCTGACTGGGGAGGCCTCCGGCAAGCCCCGACGAGCCTCCGGGCCCCCCGGGGCGCACATTTGTGGTCGGGGTCCCGGCCCCGGGCCCCCGGACCCGGTGCGCCGTTATATGTATACACACATACATACATACATACATACATACATACATACATACATACATACATACATACATACAGTCATACATTCATGCATTCATACATTCATACATTCATACATTCATACGTGCATACGTTCATGCAGTCATACATTCATACATTCATAAATACATACATACATACATACATACATGCACACACATACATGGATACATACATACATAAATACATACATACATACATACATACATACATACATACACATATACATACATGCATGCACACATACATACATACATACATGCATACCTGCATGCATGCATGCATACATACATACATGCATGCATGCATGCATGTATGCATACATATATACATTCATACACACATACATAACGTACACACATACATGCACACATGCCTACATACATACATACATACATACATACATACATACATACATACATACATGAATACACACGCATGCGTATGATACGCATGCGTACATACGTGCATATATACACACATGCACTGATGCATGCATGCAGACATGCATGCGTGCACGCATGCATAGGTGTATGCATGCATGTATACAGGTATCCATACAGTACACGCATGCCTACATACAAACATACATGCATACATACACACAGACATGAATACATACATACGTACGTGCATACATACACACATACCTGCCTACCGACCTACCTACATGCATACACGCATACACATAGCTATATGCATGCGTCAATGC